CTTTCAGGCTGAGATAATGTGAGGGGCGATGAGTTGGGACATTGAGGACGAGGGGTCGTTGAAGGAGTTATTCTAGGTAAGCTCGCTAAACGAAACATGTTACGACATGTTGTCCGCAAACTTACCTGTCCCAAAGCTTCAATCGGATGAAGCCGAGACTCTAAGCAACTTGGAGGACAAGCTGCTTGTTGACGACTCTCGCTATACTCACTAAAAGGGAGGAAACATGCCTATAGACGACAAGTCTTTTGTTTGCATGAGTCGGAGGCGGACGGATGGCGACTCTGCGCAGAGACGGTCTGCGAACAGGTGAGCGACGTTGATGGGCAGGGATAAGTACTGGGATTAACCGTCTTCCAACAGTTTTCTCTTGCTTAATTACCTGACCGCGAGAGTCTGGTCCGCGCAAGCCTGAGTGTCGCATTCGAAATATAACGCTGCAACGAGGAGCCCGTCAACTCGAAATTTGTTGGTTCCCCGCTTCAAGTTGGCGGCCATCCGAACGGAGGGAAGGGAGAGCAGCAGCTTGCGACGCGGAGCTCTTGATATTATGACCGGAAGGTAAGCAGTCGGTAGTGTGCGCCGGATGTGTGCTAGTCGAAAGCACTGACTGTCTGCATTTCAGATTCTCCCGCTCAGCGGGCAATCGCTCAGAACGTAATTCTGGCAAGAAATGGGAGCAAAAGACGGGCGCCACTGTTGTTAATGGTGAGTATCGTGTTTTGTCTTTTTTTTTTCTAACCGAAATTCGCGATAGATATACTCCCACAGTGTCCCACTCGAGCGCCGGTTAGTGGGGCCCGCTGTTTCGAGCCAGAACCCTGGGGAGCATTATCTCGGTACCTACATGCACGCTCGCTGGGCGCTGTCGTTTCATTCGAAGCTGCGCCTGCCAACGCCGTTGCTGATTGGCGAAGCAAAACTGTGCGCGCGCGTCACGTACTAAGGCGCACGTCTTAGCCTGTTCCATTGACTGAGTTTGACACCGGCGCAGGACATCCTCGTTGCAACCAAGCAAAACAACTACAGCTTGAAGCATGTTGGGTGTCGCCTCCCATATTAGAGTTGGTAGGGACGTTACAAGAATACAGTAAGCAGTGAAGATATACTAGAACGATATGTATGCGTTATCATATCGGAACCAGAGCAAGTACTAGTACTGGTAGTATGTAGTCGGAATATAGTTAAGTAGATGTAACTGTTCTACTTGAGAGAGTTACTCGTATCGTATACGGAACGCAAAAGACAAATGGAGTAATATAGTATAAGTAGTCAATGCACTCCTACTCGAGTGAGCGAGAGAAACGGATATCAACTCGTCGTCGAAGGTCTAGCCTAACGGGATCGCAATTCCAAGGAGAGTCTTCATAAAGAACCTCTCGTCGCCGCACAATGACGACAAAGACTCGGGCTTGCGCGGGAGCCCGTTTCCTCCGAGCGCCAAACGCGGGGCGAGAACTTAGGCATCTCCGCCTCTCTAGTGCCTCACGCACGCCCGCAACACCACCACTCTCCTCCCTACCAAGCCACACACCACCCGCCCACGCCATCCCCTCTCCGCCCCCAAAATCCACCTCCGCGCCCTGTCCACGCAGGCCGACGAAAAACGCGCCAACGACCGCCTTCCGCTGCGCACAGCCCGGCCACAACAAATAGATAGAAGGAAGTCGACGCGGGGCAGCGCCGCATACAGTCAACGGAGTCATGCGGCGCGCGCTCGTCGAGGTACTTTGAAGGCTTTTCGGCGGGTGGGCAGCACGTGACTTTGCCGTTTTAGGAAGGGTGGCCGGAGGGGTACGTGGATGGCGGAGATGGCGAGCGTTGGCGTTGGCGTTGGCGAAGACGGAGGAGGGAGGTGGGGGTGAAGAGGGGTGGGGTGGGGGGCGGAATAGGTTGGCGGAGGGGGAGATTTGGGGTCGGTGGTGTGGATGGGAAAATGGGAGTCGGGAGATGAGGGAAGATTGGCCGCGAGAGCAGACGTTGGAGGAAGCATAGTATTTCGAGGAAGCACAGTTGCTCGCGTTGCGTTAAGGCGGGGCTGTGGTGGCCATAGGACGCGCCAATCGTGTCGTCTTTGGAATACATGTCGAGCGCGTGGGTTTTCTCGCCCAGCTCGAGCCCTGAGTTGACCGTCCGAGTTGGATGACAGGGGAGAACGAAGTGGTGGATGGGTCCGTAAAGCATGAAGGCAGTGATATAGCGCCACCTGGCTGCTTTCCCAGACCACAAAGCTAGGGGGAACGGTATGTGGAGGTGGGCGAAGCGGCGAACGGGTCATGGAGGCTGGCGCTGCTAGCGGATCTGGAGGAAGAAAGGTGAGCTAGACGAAGGAGGAGAAGATATAGTGGTGTAGCGCACCAAACAGCTCGTTCATTCCCGCGTTCGACCAGAAAGCTACTCGCGGGCGAAAGACTTTAAGGTGGATCTAGGAAAGTAAGAGGACCGTCAGATATGGAGAACGAGATGGTATAGTAGCTTGACGAACAGCGGCTCTGCCTTGTCGCTCTTTCCATGGTCCCGAATCCACACTTCCTCTGTGTCGCGCCAGCCCTGCGGGGCGAGCGTGAACCGCAGGACGACGAAGAGGAGCTCCGACGTCGGAGCTTCGACGTCGGAGCTCCACGTCCGGTAAGTATGGTGGAAAAAGGCAAGAGTAGCGACGTGTGACGATCCTCCTTTGACATTGACCGCCAATTTACAACCCTGGTAAGGGCTAAAGTACTGTATTCTTGCACCTACAGGCTCCATACAACCTCATGTTCTCCAGAACTGCAAATCGAATGCTTAACGCGCGCCACTACGCGGGTTCCGCTGAGGCTACTGCGTTTCTTCATGGACTTCATCGGCTTACCCGCGACTTTCTTGATCCTCCAACCAAGTCCCGGCTTAGAGAAGAGGCAGAGCAGCTCAAGCAGGCGATTGGCGAGCTGAAGGCAAAGCTCGAAAGCCTTGAAGATCGTCTAGATGCGGTCCAGCATGACTTGTCCAGCCTCGTTTACCCCATCAACACCCTACCCAACGAGATTCTATGCCACATTTTCACAGCGGCCGTGTCAGCCTGGCCTCAGAGTCGCGTTGAAATCAATCGCACGCGCTTGGGGATTACCGCCGTTTGTTGGCGGTGGCGCAGCATCGCCATCGCACACCCGCACTTGTGGACGCAGACATATTACTTGGTCTATGGTAGCCAGAATGACTGGCTATTTGAGCACTTCCTGCCACGTACACTCGGCCTGCCGATCAAATACACCCTAATCGTCACCTCGGAATTAGAATTGGCACCCCGTGCCGCATTCGATTCCGTTGATCGGTGGGAGGAAGCCGTGCTGATGCTGATGAGCGAGTGTTGGCCAGCTGCTCTCATAGATGAAAGAATCGATTGCCCTCACCTGACAAAACTTACTGTGGATGTACAGTTCACAGACTCGGAGATTGGGCCCAACGACTTGTTGATGAACATTCCCTGTCTGCGCGAGCTGTCTATTGGTACTTCAACTGGCTTGCTCTCTCGCCTGTCTTTTCCTACACATCAATTGAAGAAATTGACCCTTCTTCAATCCATACATTATCCGGAGCTTCTCCTCCTACTCGCACATCTGGTGGGCTTGGAAGTGCTCTCGATACACATACCACTCGACGAGGACTTTGTAGACGACGAGAGCTGGAGCTCGACGCCACCCATACGATTGCCCAGCTTGTCGACATTGTTACTGGGCCTGGGCGAGGATTTAATCTTGCAATTTCTTGACTTGCCTGCACTGACAACACTGCATTTCTCCCCTGGCAACTTTGAGGACGATGCACAGTTCCTGGGCCCCTGCATTATCCGCTCGTCTGCAAATATAACCTCTCTATTCTTAGCGCCAATGAGCTACCGCGCTTACCGCACCGCCCTGTCCCCCGTGCTCAACTCAGTCAAACACCTGACTGTAACCCCCTTCTACATGCACACACATGAGGCAGAGCAGTGTTCGGCGGACCTCGCGCGCCTGGACTACCTCCCCAACCTTGAATCGATCACCCTGGTCAATGCTGGAAAGATGCATCCGCACCGCAGTATACGGCCGTTCCTCGAGGGGATTGCCATGAGAGCTGCCAACGCGCTCAGGCTGTGGGGCGGTGCCTCGCACAAGATGAAGCTCAATCATCTTGCTCTTGACTCCACGACCACGACCGCAACAGGGATGATCCCAGCCAAGGATATGCGTGACCTGGCCTACTTGCAGAGAAGCTTGCAGTCGATGTTTGCAAAGGAGGACAAGCTATAATAGATCCAAATAGTCTGAACTCGTCTCAGTATTGCCATTCGATTCAAAGTTGTTGCTTTCAAGGTGTTTAAAAAGTCTGTCGATACGCCGATCCAATGGAGACATTCCATGTCGAATTATAACTAGTACTATGGACAGATCGTACAAGTGAGCGTTGAACGGTGTCCTTTGGCGCAATGACAGACGAGCAACGTGTGTGACATCACATGATCCTCGTTCTTCTGCACTGTCATGTCGTACGCGTCGGCCAGGCCTGCTCGTTCCGACACCGCTTCTGCTTGACACACGGCCGCAAATGGCGATGGAGCCTAAGAACGGTGTGCTCAAGCGGGAGAGGACTCAGAGGAGGTTTCATGGAGAGAAGGGCTGGAGGCCGGGAGGGTGGCTAAATGGGTCCTGGTGTGTTATCCTCGTTTGTTTCGGCGTTCATCATCCTTATCATTCGCTCCGGGTTAGTCTTACTCTCGTCACTCGCTGGCTCAAGCAGGGCAGCCTGAGAACTGCATTTCAAGATCTGTTGCTAGCATTCCCATCGCCTCGCCATACTCTTTCACGCGCCCATCGATCCTATCATGATCGCGACACAGTCACCACACGTTCCGCGCACCCACAATTTTTGTCGAAAATACCTTCCCATTTGTCGCAACCCGAGCATCGTGGCTTTCACGTAGCCTACTGCTCTTTCCTGGAGCGCTCTGGTTTCCGCCACGACACGGTCGATGTTGACTCGCCTCAAGGGTATTGGGCAAGGCTTTGCTGGCGGCTTTCGCGAAGCGAAAGGCTGTTGGGAAGACTTCCCAGTCGAGAATATTCGGAGTATGCACACGTGGACGGCAAATCATTCCTCTTCTCTGTCATTAGTTGCCGGCGCTGGTGCCCGCACCCTCCACTTTTGCCGTTGCACATTGATTGTGTAGAGTATGTATACTCCAAGTGGTTCGAGTCTACCCATCGACGTCGAATCGCAAACCATCTCGACTGTCTATAAGTGTGGGTTACATCGACAGTGAGACGGAGGGGAGAAGTCCCAGCGCGCAGCAGCGAGCGCTGGATCAGCTCAACGGCAGAAGTTTCGTGTCGTGGGTCTAGCCACCAGATGTCCATGTCTGCCCAAATCATATGTGTCCCCAAAATGACGTCGTGCCATTTGGAGCAGACGGTGGAAAGGGCAAGCCAATGATGTTTAGCCAGAATGCGCAGCGGGTCCTTGTCTCTTCTCAGTCTGGAATTGACAGAGCGCTGGAGGATGTCGAGGAGGAGCTTTGTTGGTAGCCGGAGAATCGGGGGCAAGGATGGGGTGCGGCTGTGCTCTACATGTGGGTGGACGTGGTCGAGTAGATGAGATAAGGAGAGCATGTCGAGCCGGGTCACAACGCGAGGCAGCGACATGAGAAGGTCAAAAGTGACGATTGAAGAAAGGTGGTTGATAGCACAGAGGTTGGCGGTAAGAACAGGGTATAGTGAGCTGCGTACTGTAGGTGTCAGCACATTCAAGGTCAGAAATGAGAAGCGCACTACTACTAAGAGTCTCCTGCTGCCGCGTATTCTGATATTCCACTGGCACTTGTTTCTTCAAGATCGAAGTTTATTGCAGTCAGTGTGAAAGGGAGTCGAGACGGGAGGCGTTCAGCAAGACGACAAGGGCGCGTGTGAGTGAGCCAAGAGTCTTCTCTCCTTCTTGCGCCGGGTTGCTAGCACTGGCTGTGGTGGTTTGAGCCAAGCGAGGTGTCAAGTGACGGCGACGGGACGGCGACGTGACTCGGACCGCGAATCTTTTCTTGTTTTTTCTCCTCACCACACTCCCAGAGACACAGACCGCTTTGCGCTCAACCGCGCTCACTATCTCGAATAACCCCCGCCGTCCATCTGCCGCATCCGTTCACCCTCACCGTCATCACGCTCACGACATTTCGGCACTGGGCAAAATCTTCACCAAATACACCTGCTTTTCTCAGCGCAAGGCGAAACTCCTTGTTACTGCAGTATATCCTCTGCGCGTACTTGGACTGCAAACCCCGCCGCAATGCACGATGGGAGAGATGGAGGACGCATGGGCGGACCAGAATGCTGGTTAATATGGTGCGTCCTTGCCTGCTTCGTCTCCGCCTTTGCTGAGCTTTTGACAGATACCTTGGCCAACTGAAACATTGTATCTCGAAGGAATCTCGGAATGACTTCAAATGTAGGCGCAACTTTGAGTTGGCCTGGCTAGGTGAATGCTTGTGCCCCCGGCGCGATTATACTCAAAGGTCGTGAAGCTCATAGAGCTGCTACAACGTGCTGTTACGACGGGGAGTTTGCTGCGACAAAAGATAGAGGTCATTGTGCTGGCTGAAGGTCCGTTTGCCAACTGTCTTTTCTTTTCCGCAAACTCATTGTTTCAAGTCGTTGTTTCCGTCCCTATCTGCGGTGGTCCGTTGGAAGCTCTCCAAAGCTCGCGCAGGCATCTGCAGAAACTCGCGCTCGCTGGAGCCTCCATACCGCAAAAACAGAGCTCATTGCAAACGGGCCTGGGATACACGCGAGACACGAGAGTGAAATGACGAGCCGGAAGGGGTTGCTGTAAGGTGCTACGTCTCAGGTAAGTCTCCCGTCCTTTCGCGTTCCACACTTTTGACTAGATTGGATTGTCGCAGACCATCTGGTCGATATTTGACCTTGTCGAAAAGCAGAGGCTTCGAACGCTTCCAAACGAGGAAAACGGGATGGAGATATGACAGGTCCGGAGCGCAAGTACCTCTTTCAAGGTGTGTCTACCTGCTCTATTGGGAATTCATGGCCTCTGACTGGTATTAAAGTTTTGTGCAAATTCTACGCCTATCTCTGGGCTCGTCCTCCCCCTTTCTCGCTTCCTCCATCTCGCATCCAGTAACTGGGTCAAGATTTTAGGTGGTGCAAACGACAAAGTACTTTCCTCAAGATGTTCCCTGCAGCTGCCTCAATCAATTCCCCCCGCGGCTCCAGCTTCCCCTTCCACGCAAATCACAGACCCCCTCTTCAGACAGCTCTTTGTAATACACAAGTACCGTACCGTCCTCTCCGAGTCCTCTTTTTCTTTATTACACTCAGTATATCTCCCTATCGGAGCCTTGTTGTTGAAGTCTACCATATTATTCGAACTATGCCGACTTACTCTACTTATCCTATCCACCTCCTCGGTAACTACCAAAAATATGTCGTAGATATAGCTCAAAACATCCTTGCTAGGGCTACTCCTGAAATTGCGTTGAATGCAAGGAGAAAGCACAAAACGGATACATACTTGATGCTTCCAGTGTTGTCGTTCCGAGGGTTTTTAAGGCGGAAAAGGTAAGGTAGGGGTCGTGGGAACCCCGCACGTTTAGTCATACATCAATTGATGCCATCAGAGCCATCATTTGCGCTCCTGGTACAAAAAATAATTTATTTTGCCCATTTCTGGGAGAGTTTGGGGCTGGACTGAGGAGATATATAGTTTATAGAGACTTTTTAGTCAAATTCAAGGCCCTCATACCTTCCAGACTTCAGAGTTGGGCTTTGAACCGGAGGGGTCACAAAGTGTGACCCCTCCCAATTTAGAAATGGTCTGATCTGTCTAATAAATGGACTGGAATCTACTCCAAGACTCTATTGTGACATGAATGACACTAATTTATATGTTATGATTCCCTACATCGGGCTGAGATTGGTCAAAATCAATCATCACATACAACATGTGATGCTGATTGTCACGCTTTTGAGTGGAGTCACACGTGTGACAGCGCCATCATTCCAGGTTTTGACCAAACATAAAAAGTAGATATTATCCAGTTATTGGACCTAGCATTTGTTAAGGCCATCCTAGGCTTCATTTCTACATACTTTGCTAAGACATAAGTATCCAGATGCAGCACCCCTTGGAGGCACATCAGCGCTGATTCCATCAGCTGACTAAACGTGCGGGGTTCCCACGACCCCTACCTTAGGTCCAGAGAGAAAGAGGTCCAGCTTGTGGTGGGAGACAGGTGATAGGCTCAGGGAACGAGCATAAGTATGGGGCCACGTTCTGCAAGTCGTTTTTGTGCTGGCGCTGGAGATGGGCGAGGATGCTGTCAACACTAGTCCGGCCTGAAGTTGGACACGCAAGCTTGAAGGAGCAACGAAAGAACGAACCTATATACTCCTGCAACATGTGTTCTAAATTCGTGCGACGTTCTCGAAGACAAAGTCCAGTCGCGAGCACAAACACGTCTACCCGCGGGCAAGTCAAAATGCGCCTCACGGGCGGATGGTTCTTCATCTTGCAAGAGGGTAGTGCTGGCCTGTTATGATATTATTATGCCAAATGCATAATAATAATATAATAATATCATAATATGGTCCTCAGCAGTGTAATATATCCTTAATATAATATAATCATAATAATTGGAAATATTATATTATAATTTTATTATAATATTTCATAATATATTATCCTGCTACAACAAACTTTCAATATTATCAACCTTGGTTTGCAGTATAGAGTCCAGTAGTACTATTGTTGTCACGGTTCGGGTCGGGCCGTCGGGCCACAGAGCCGCACGGGGCCAATCGGGCCCGCACGGGCCCACACTAACCCCATACCCCTCGCCACTCCCCCATTCTTCCAACCCCTTCCCTTCACCCCCGCGTCCCTACGCAGCGCCCATCCGTTCCGCCCTGGGGCCTGACGCCCATCCGATCCCTCCCTAAATATCGTAGTGTATAAAAACCGTACTTACAAGATGTAGTCGCTAGGCTAATATCATTCATTCTCCGGGCTAACACCATCTCTCGTGCTCCTCAGACCCGCTCTAAGTCGGACCCCCCAACGCCCTGATACGGCCCGAGCCCGACGCTGATAGAATATTAGCCTCCCCCACGAACGCAAGAAGCGCGACAAATGTCTACTGAGCACGACAGTATGATGGGCACCCCCGCAAACCAGGGGGACGAGCGTGCCCGATTCATGGCCTTGGGCCATAACGAACAACAGGAGTTCCTGTTCGCCCATCTGTTCCGAACAAATCAGGAGATGGAGCAACTTAGGGTGGAAAACACCACCCTGGCGAATTGACAGGTGGCCATCGAGGCCGAGCTGTCCCGAGTAAACGGGGAGTACACAGCTGTACAGCAGGGAGTTATGCAGAGCTACGACCTGCTCCGCCAAGCCAGAGAGGACTTGGCCCATCGGCCCCACGGAGGGAATACACGAGTAACCATCTCTCCCCCTAAGGAGTTCACGGGCAACGCCAGCGAGGTAGACGCCTTCCTGGCCGATTGCTGGTTGGCTTTCGAAGCCAACCCAAACGTTTACAACGACGAGGTACGAAAGATCTTGTATGCCCTCTCCTACATCAAAGGAGGAAACGCGGTCACGTGGAAGGAGAACATCTCCCAGGCCATGAAGCTCCGCACCGCCGAATCCTATACTACGTACCGAAGGCTTCGAGAAAGCCTTCATTGCGGCCTTCCGAGGGGAGGCCCACGCCGAAATCGCGCAGCAGAAGATGGAGACCTACATCCAGACCAAGGACATGGACGCAACCAGCTATTTTACAGTACTCGACTCTCTCAACAAAATCACGCACTACGACGATGTCAACCTCATTTGCGTCGCCAAGAACTGTATGCTTCGGGGCGTTATGAACGCGGTCTACCGAAAGGACACACTCCCCGATACCTACGAGGCCTGGAAGGCAGAGGCCATCAAACAGGACGGTGCACTCCGCCGCTACCGCATTTCCGACCGCAACAGGGCCCGCACCTATGGAGATTGACCGGGCCCAGGCCCCCGCTACGGCCCGCAACACTCGCTGTTACAACTGCGGCCAAGAAGGACACATCAGCCAGATGTGCCCGAACCGGGTCGCATCGGCCAACCAGATCTGTGCTATCTTCTCGGAGTTTATCAAAGACAACGCAGATAAAGCGGATTTTGGGAAGGGTATAATAGCATAAGATTAAGGTATAGGCCTATGTGCACAACAGAAGATATCAAGGATAAGTAACCACCTACCTATCCATAAAACAATAATTGAAATCTATACAGAACTGGTGGAGATATTGCTTGATCAACACACTTGATAGATAATTATTAGGTAATATAGGCATACTGATAATATTGTATTGGCAGGGATGTTGATCTTACTATTAAGTGTAGTAGAGCTTGAATCAACTCTGTAGCTCTTCTGTGATCAAGATATCATCTCATAAGTTGTATATCAGCTAGTGATTCAAGGCCAGTACTGGGAGTCAGTCTGGGACAACCCTGCAACTGCCAGTATAGGTCAGTCAAGTCACTTAATGAAAGTTGTCCATATTGTCTAAATATACAACTTTGATTGTGACAATGTGTAACATTCTCTGATGATTCCAGTGTTGAGCTGCAACAATTTGAGCTGACATACTTATTTATGAGATAGGCACTTAAACCACCAGCTCCAGTATCTATTGATAAAATTTCCTTGTTGGGACACCATGTCACATGTCATATAGTGTGACTTTAGTCATATTATTCACCCCCTTATCTATATTATTAGCCACTTGGGAAGTTGTCAGTACTGCAGCTTATCAGCGGTAATCTGGCGGATAATGTACTTGTGGGAGCAACAGGTGTTTCAAGTCCAAATTTAGTTTACTTTTATTCACTGCTATGATTCATACAACTATTATAAGTCCAAAATTGTTTCACCTTTATTCACTAGCAGGGAGTCCATCCACCTTTATTCACTTATATCGGCTATGTCACTAATATACCCTCTAAGTCGAAAATTATTTCATCTTTATTCACTAGCAGGGGTCTTAGATCAGTCACACCTCCGGGGGCATTTATTCACTTTTATTTGGTAGCAGTGGACTTGTTTTGAGCAGTTTTATTCACCTTTTATTGCTCACTTTATTCACTTACAGGGCCAGGCTCACTTTGCTTTATGTTAGAGGCCGCTGTGCGACGCGCCTCCACCTCTAATATAAGGCTGGATATGGGATCCACAGGATCCACAGGTGATTTCTGCATATTGTATATAGTACATGTTATGAGTCACTGCGATGTGGGCTACTTCAGCCATGGGCTTGTTCCAGTGATGCGCGCGAGATTCGTGCACGCCTGCAATTGGGCCCCACAGCCCGCCCATAGCCACTACGATCGGGCATGCGCCATTTTGGCTGGCAAGCGCCGGTCCGGGGCGGTGTTTCCCAATCGGGTTGACAGTCTGGACCGAGCTCCGTTCCGGGCTCCGTTCCGCTCCGAGGGCTAGGAAGACAAGAGGAGGCCTTGGGGGCCTTTGGGACGCGTTCAGCATGCGTCTAGATCTGGCGAATTGGGACGACACCAGAAGGTGTCTGGAGCTTGGACCACCGGCATAGCCGCGTCGAGACGCGTCCAGGACACCGCCAAACGCCGATGGACCGAGCGGCCCAAGCTTGTAAGCTGAATCGCGTAAGCAGGAGGGCCAAGCGCGTTAGAGGTCGCGCTGTACGCGCTGTGTGCGCTGCGGGCACAGGACAGATAGCGGCTTGCGCAGGCTGGAAGGCAGTGAGGAGGCTGTAGCCTCAGCAGTATATATTTGCAGCGTTTGTAGTCTATAGGACAGTGAATTCGAGTGCCCGGCTCTGCGCGGGTTTATTGTGGATTATCGCTGTTCCGTTATCTGTTGTCGCCGTTATCGCTGTTTCCGTTATCGCCGTTTGTGTTGAAGAAGTTCTGTCAGTTCGCCCCGTTGTTCCGATTGCCCGCCCGCCGTCCCGCCTTCCCGCCCACTGTTGATCTGGTCCCGCCCGTTGTTCCGCTTACTTAATCATCCCAACCCTATTGTTCCGAGCCGTTAAACGTGTTTATTTGGATTGCAACAGCTATATACTTTAGCTGGAACCCCCGTACTTGCGCGCATCAGTAAACTACCCACCCACTTCAAACTCCGACGTGATCCGCTTTGATCCGGTCTGATCCGAGTGATCCGAGACTCGGCCCGCGTGTTTTGGTGTTAGGCTCTCTGGTTTTGTGTTCTGTTGTGTTTGTGTGCTGATTTTAGTGTGTTGTGTTGGAGTTTGTTTGTTGTGTGTGTTCTGTTTTCTTGCGTTTCACCAGCACCACTACCTTTTTTCAGTGCGTGTGACAGTGAGGTCACACCTACCCAGCCGATGACTAACTCACCACGTGCTGCTGAAATCTGAGTCACTGCATGCTTGTCATACAATCAAGAATAAAACTCCGAACGCCCGCTCAGTTATTGTAGCTGTAGGGAGAAGGTGTCAATACTTTCTCTCCCTACAATGTATATTATGCTACATAATAACCACAATAACCACTCTATAGAAATTAGTCCTGCAACATAACTGTTATAGAGTTTTTTTTTAAAAAAAAAACTCATTCCAAAGACGGTTCATGTGCACAGGCAGTCAAAAACAATGCTGCACTGAAGTCTTGCATATCTAGAATTACTCAAATTTACCACTGATTAGGACTAACTTCACTGATTCTGGCTTCAGGCACAGACTGAGTTCTACAACGCTTGGGAGACTGGGCGTGAGCTCGACTCGGAAACTGTTTGGAGTCCCGGGACGAAGAGATACAGAATACTATACTGGCTATGTATTATGTACCTCAGGGCACTCCCCGGAAACCGGTGTTCCTCAGTGGGACCGTGCCATGTAATCCTATCCTATCCTATCCTATCCTGCCCAAGCGTGTCAGATTCTGTCAAACGTCTGGCACCAGCCGGAACAGCCGCACCAGCCGTGCCAGATTGATGACAGAATTTCATGGGCCCTTGACAGGCTTGCCAGGGCCTCCAGGGGAATGGAGTTTTCCTGATGAGCTCACTAAAAAGTAATAACCTTCAACATGATTCTTGACTCAGACAGAGAGTTCAACCATTCAACCATCAAACATCAGTCTATGGCACTACACATTGACGAGACACCAACCACTTCCGCCAGTTAAACACCCTTAAACAGTTGCATGGTTAACCAGTTGAGTTAATCTAGATGAACCATGACAATGCTGTATCGTTAAACAAAGCTGGTACGAATTTATCCGAAGGGCGCATATGCTATCCCTCCCCCATCCACCCAAAGCCTGCTCTCACTTCCCCCATCCCTTGTCTATCTCCCGAAAGCCCCTCCGCCAACGCGTATGTCGCCCGTCGATGAAGAAACATCGCTCATGCCTCCCCCTCCCATTATCCCATATGTCTCCAAGACAAAACGCGCTCAGCAGCAACCTTGCCCCTCCAATGGCGGGGCAGCAAGAATTGAGTAGGAAGAAACAAGTATGCGCCATGCGGAGGTACACTGCTAGCTGCCGCGTTCTGACATACTTATGTTGCGGTCTTTAGGTCGGCGGGCGAGCACGTGACTTGCCATTTTGGGAAGTCAAGTCGGCAGGGAGGGCGGGGGGAGGAATAAGAGGGGGCAGGGAATTCGAGTGAAGGTGTATGGGCCCCGTTGAGCAAGCTGCGATGGTCTATAAGCCACCTGAGCTCTTCGTCGAATCAGTCGACAAATTACAATTCAGCTTCACAGCAGAAGTGTAGTCATTTGTGCGCCGATGCGGAGACGATGTTGCAGCGATGAATGTGCAGCAGGACATCCTATCTAATCCCTGGCGATGGAAGTCCTTGCGCGCAGGAAAAGGAGGTGTAATGGTGGCCTTCTCCTCGGATTTACAAAAAGAAGTGTGGAGAAATACCGCGCTGCTAGATATGCTCTCCAGAGCGCTAGCCTCTGGTGGCTGCGTTGAGCGATATTTGTGGTTTTCGAAGGGGCGATGCGCCGCCGCAAGCGGAAGGAAAGAAGGAATAAATGGCCAGTGACCTTGTCCACGAACTTGAATGCGGGTAATGTGCAGGTATCGTCCGCAAACTGGCGGAGTTGGGACACGCAAACTTGAAGGCGAGAACTACTGGGGTGCCGAGGAGGTCGTGCTGCATGCAGAAATGACAGCGCGGACGAGTAACTTGAAGCGGAAGTCGATGTAGTGTCCCTCGACTCGTGCCTCTTTGCGGAGATGCTGCGCAAGCCAGAATGAGGAGGGTTTAGCGGGTCCGTTTGCGTTTGGAGTGCGCGAGAAGGTCGGTGGTGGCGAAGAAGTGAACAGGGAATGAGAACGTGGGCATTGGGAAGCGGGACTTTGGAACAGGTCACAGTCAAGACCACGTTCTCGACAAGAAGGTAGAGACATGACTCACACGAGTTCCTGCCTACACGAGAGCGACCTCGTACTCGTCCAAAGCCGTCCGCTCTCAAGTGGACCCAAGTGATAATTTCTCCACGCCAGCAAGGGCCAACTGTCGAGCAGAGTCAATTGGAAAGAAACGATGGGGGTGGAGAAGCCCAGCTTTTTTGTATCGAGAGATATGCTCATTTTGCTGGGAGCTCGGAAGGTCGTAGCATTGCGAACAACACTTGCGAGTATTTGATTCGAGGAGCAGCAGCTCTGAAGGTCTTAAGCGACATTGGAGAGCTCGAGATACAAGCAGGAAAAGTGGAACAGAAGAAGGCGGGAATGATGCTATTGAAGGACTCAGAGAAAGGCGCAACGGGGTGGGTGCCAGCTGTGGTTCAGCAAGAAGTGAAAATGGACAACACATCGTTGTTCCTCATGGCCTTCGGTTTGCTCTCACCGAACAACAGCAACCCAGCCACCGGAGCGCTTGACTTCCACATCGACCTTTTCCCTCTTCATCTTATTCATCGTCGAAACCCACTCCTCCACCCGTTGAGCTCCTAGCCCAAAAGCTCCCAGCCCAAATGTCGTCTGCGAGTTGCTGCCTGCCATGAAGGATCGCGGCGGCGGCGAGAAGATGACGGTTGGTTGGTTGATCAGCAAGGTTGCCACATCGTCTCCGCGACGTGCACCGGTAACACCCGCGAGACGGAAGCAGGAGGATATGATGGGTGTTGACGCGGCAGAGGTTGAGGATGAGGATAGTGGGCAGTATAACGATTCGCAAGAGGTCTAGCGAAGTCTTGCCCCAAAGGAAGAAAAAAAGAGCTGAAAGTTCGAGTGAGCACTTGACAAGAGAGGCGTTCGAGAGGGACACCCACCTGCCGACTCTAGTTCCAGACTCCGCCTCCCTTGTGATTTACATGTGTCGCCACTTGAAGCGCTTGGGCTCGTTCTGAGAGTCATCCAAGTGCTAAGTACTTGCACTAGTGTTGTCGCGGTATTTGTTGTAGGTGAGCCAGAGTTGCTTAAGCTGAAATCTTTTCATTCGTTTCAAACAGAGAAAGCGGGCAGAGACACGCGCGCACCCACTATACGTCAATATACTCAAGATCGACATCATGCTCTTGTCGATGATTCATCGTTGCCTACGAAGACGAAGAGGTGCCATGACTGCTTTTAAGCAGGGGTCGTCGTCGAGACCGCCAACTGGCGGTACCATGGAGTCGGGAAGAGAGATCTAGAAACAAGTGCATGTCACACCCACTTCTTGTTTCCCGACCTCGATGATCCCGCCGACCCCAGACTCGTCAAGCCCTCCAACGAGCATGTCGGGTGCTCGCCCTTCTCCACCCAGCACTCAGACTGCTCACCCGATGTCTGCAAACGGAGCAATGTGCGTCTTCGCGTGTATTGGCATGTATTAATCGCTGACCTTTAGCATAGCTCTGCTCCTGTGCTACCTTGCAGCGACTCGAAGGCACTTATGCTGACAACAACGACCAAGAAGCTTCAGAAAGTGGCGGACACGACATTGGCCTGCAGTCCGTAGCGTTGCCGGAACGGGTGTGGATACAGGTGTGCATGCAGTCACTCTCCTGGCTTGTTGTCGGCCCGGGTGCTGACAGTCTCCCCAGCAAGCTCGCTTGCCGCTTGCTTCTTTAGTCACCATAGCACGACATTCTCATCCGCTGCCAGAGAAGGCTCGGGATCGTTCCAGACCTGCCACGCATGAAAGGAGGGAGTTACCGGCAGTATGTGGCCACCCACCTTCCCGCCGTTGACCAAATACTCTAGTCCTCCCCGCCATCGATGGTCTATCCACCCCTCGATAGTACTTCTTCTCTGCAACGACATGTAGAACTTGCATTGGCGGCTGTGATGCTGGCCCGATGGCGGAATCGCATCCGTCATCACTCGCGTCAGTCGACAGCCGGATCCTCAACCTGTATCCGCGTAAGGATATCGCGATGGCAGACTCCAGTATGTTTATACCTCTCGTTTTCGCGCAACAAGCGCATTTCAAGGGACAATCCACTTTTCACGCCAACTCTTCTGTCTGCAGCCTCGTCTAGCTACAATGACACCAATATCTACACAAAAGCAACATAATAATGACTTCCTCCTCCACCCTTCGGTCCTCCGCCGCCCCTTTGACGTCTGCACTACCTGCACGACTAACTCGAAATCTTGTCTGGATGTGGCAAGTCACGTGCACCTCGCCGTCCGCAAAGAATACGACATATCTGCCCCAGCGCCGCAGCTATCGCTCCACTAAGTGTATCTCCTTGTACCCCATACTGTGTAACTCCTATCGAATTCTTTCTGCCCCGCTTTTTGAGGGGCAAGGCCGACGTTGAGGGTGTTTTGCCTGCGGCGGTCGTGTGGCGGGATGGCCGATATTTCTCTATCGAATGTCGACGTACGCGTAGGGCGAGGTAAATCGGGGTGGCGGGGCACTTGGGAGATGGCATGTTTCAGGCGTTTTGAAGGATTAGCATATGTGTGAGGAGTTAGTAACTCCGAGTTACTTGCCTACTTACACTTCTCCGATCCCTTCCTTCCTTGCGCGTTGGCTTCGCTCGTCCGCGCAAGGAGAGCGGGATGGCCGACCCATATACAGCAATCCCTCTCATCATCGCGCGACAAGTACATTCGAAGGTATGATCTTCTTTTTACTTCAATTTTCCTGTCTGAAGTGTCTTCGAGAATAGTTATCATCTGGAGGATAGCGACAATGCCACAAATTCTCCCCACATCTCTCCCAGACTATTCTCGTCAGCCGCCGATCTCTGTGACAGAGATCGGCGGCTGACGAGAACAGAGACTCTGTGCCGCCAATCACGAGCCCCCGCTCCAGACGCGCGATGCGCAACACGATGACTGGCGCAAACCTTGACAACAAACTGTCCCCAACGAAAAATGAGGATGAAGATGGGTGACCTACGACGATAACAGGCACTAGCGCACCCATGGCGGCCGCTGCTCTCACAACGCAGAACTCCGCGGTCGCAGCACCAAGTCCCAGCTGCAACCACCCCCCAGCGACTACCAACTCGTCAACGCCGCTCACAACGCAACGAGCTCCGTATCCGCGACGACCTCGAGGACGGTAACACCCCATCGTCGTAATGCGGCGGGAGGACTATAATGGTGGCGGGTTGGGGCAGATTTGGGAAGAGAGGAGCTGGAGAGAGGAACCCTGACGATGTCGAGGTTGTCTTGGACAACAACGCCCATTTAGCGCTTCTCTCGCTATCTCCTCTATCCACCTATCCCTCGCCACTTCCTCGCTACCGCTTGCATTTACCTTCAAGCCATTTGCTTGCAAGAGCTGTGTTGCGCAAACGACGCCCAATATGGCTGCTCTTGACTCGTTTGGACAAGAGTTACAAGCTCCCACTCGCCACTTGGCGGAGATGACCACGACAAACGCTGCTGTGGATGCAAGTTTGTTGGACGGGACCGCGAATAGCTAACGGAGCGGAAGGACGGGGGAACGGGTGGTCAAAACACGCGCGAGGACTGTTTCTTTGGCTGGGCGAGGTGTGTTTTCAGGCATTATCGGCAGAGATTTGCACTGATTACTCTCCTTCTCTTGCTTGTCTTTCCTCAGTAGTTCGTGCCCGCCGAAGATGACGACTGTTGATGATGTCTTTGGCGCTGGAAAAGCCCGAGCCTGTCTGGGAGGGAAGGAATTGGTCAGGGAGCGGCCAATGTTGCTGCGACAACTCATCCCCCCAGCATCAACTTGAACGAGACGTTGCACCACCCGTTCAAACACACACTCAACAACTTCTGACATTCGAGCCCTCGAATGCAAAATCACAATACCAGCTACACAATATCTCATCTCCACTACCACGCTCCGCTCCTCCCCATCCCACTCCATGACCTCCCATGGCCTCGTCCCAAAATGGAAGTCACGTGCACCGAGTCTTCTCCAAAGACGCACAAGTATTGTGTTGTTTTCATCGTTGTTCACTATGTTACACATCCATACATCATAATAGCTTGTAATAAAAAGTGCATTAGAAGGGGGCAACAATGTACATAGCGACAATGGGCCTGAACGACCGTAGAAGAATATTAATGACGCGGGCCTACACGTAGTCGGAGCGTCCAGATGGACGAGTGTATATGCAAGGACCTGTTGAGATCAGTGTTGCACCGAAGCCCTAAGCCTTAGGTCTGCTCTAAGGCCTAAGCCCTTAGTCTAAGGCTTAGTCTAAGGCTTAGTTTGAGGGCAGGTTTTAGCTCTAAGGCCTTATTAGTCACATGTTGTGTATAGCCACATCTAGATCTCATTGAATTTTTGCTTCTCATATCCTCCAATCATTAACAGGAGGGAACAATACCAGCTCTGGAAGTACTTCTGAGACCAGCCTATGAAAAAATCACTGTAAACATGCAGTTTGTGTTAGGCATGTGCAGAGGAGAGGCAGTACATGCAGATAGTGGTGGAGTTGGCTGTGAAGTCCAATGCATTGGGTTACTAGAGATTCATAAAGAGGTATATAAAGACTATAGTAGTAGAAAATGCAGCTTTACAAAAGTCCAGAAAATTTCCTTTTTGGGACACTAAGCCCTCTACCAGCCCTTAGACTGGGTAAGGCCTAAGGCTTAGACTAAGGGCTAAGGCCTTAGCTTGTGAAAGAGGCTGAAATTAAGGCCTTCGGTGCATCACTGGTTGAGATAAAGACCCTGGGGGTAGTCGTGGCTCGCAAAATGGATGCAAAGTCGATCCTAGTGCAAACGTCGTCGTTATCGAAAACGGCGTCAACGAAACCCATCTCGCCCATTGCGGTCCCTGGAAAAGATTGGGAGAGTCAAATGATGTCTAATGCACCGCTGGATACTCGTATGCCGTGAAGGCGCAGAGCCGCAAAAGTCGTGTGTGTGGGCGTGACGGTGATGGATGCGCGACCTTGAAAGTCAACGAAACAGTGTCGTCAAAGCAGGTATAGGCTCTGCAAATGACCCGAAAGGCGGGGGCTGGGCTTGCGCGGATTTGGAGAAACGAGAGGGTGTTGCATGTGGGGGAAGTATGGTATTCGGCTGGGTTGTTGGTCGTCATTTGGGGGCAATGGGCTAGAATAGTCCTTTTCTAAGAGAACAGGGCCTCTTGCAGACCGTATGGCAGAAAAAACAAATGCAGGGGTGTCGACAGGACAGAGGAGGGAATATGATGGTCCAGGCAGACACGGTAATCTTGCTGGTGGATCCTGCTACCAGGCGGCTATAGCGCGAGCGCGTTCCAGTCTGTCTGAAAGCATATCAAGACTACTGGTAGTTGCGATAAAGAGCACTAGACGCACTGATACATGCCGTTTCAGATAGAGTTTCTCTCCTCTCCGCCTTGTAGCTGGAGCTTGTTTCCCGGTCGTTGTCGTGGGACCCGCGAGTATTTCCTGGCAGCGCAGGACTCGTAAGTTGGCGGTATTGAATATGCTGTCCCCGTTGTGGTCATCGGACGGGGATTTGAAGGTAATCTGTGCAGAAAGAGTGTCAACGGAAGAGAGGAAGACAAGGTCGTGCTTTGACGCGCCATTAACACCAGCAATTCACAATCCAGACACGTCACACTGAGTTCCCGTCCCACAAGAGCCCGCGCCCATCGCTCGTCGGGGCAGTGGTGCCGCGCAGCATAAGGCAGAAATAGAGTCTGCTGAGAAAGTCAGATAAACCTCGCGTGGCGAACCGTGAAACGCACCTCGCTGCTCCGAGTCACGTAGCTAGTGTACGATGAGTATGTGAGTAGGGGAGAAGGGGTGGATCCTCGGGGCCGGAAGGGCTGTGGTGGGGGTGCAGAAGAAGAATGTGTCACGGATCACGGCCCCACTTTCACCACTAACCGCCATGACAAACTGCTTTGTCTGTTCGTTCCGCCCAGAGGCACTTGGCCTGCCTTCTGCCTCCCAAATCGAAAACCTCCGCTCCATAAGTCGCTCGAATCTTCCAACTCCTTTGGACATGTCTGCCAAACTCACTGCTGTGGCTGCGACTATTGCCGACTATGATGCTCACCTTGCTCGGCTCGAAGAACTGGTTCGGACGGCCAAGGAGGAACGGGCCCGAGCTGTGTTATACCAAGCTCAGTGCAAAAGCCTCCTTACGTCGCCTATCCGCCGGCTTCCAATCGAGATTCTAGCCTGCATCTTTGAGTTCTGTGTACTTGTGCCACCTACAGATATGTGCAACACTATGGAGGAAATCAAGGGCCCTCGAGAGGCGTTGATGAAGATGGTTAATCAGAACCTTTACTCTCTTATGCAAGTGAGTTCAATCTGCGTTAAACGAGGGGTACGGGCAGGCATTGATTCCTCCTCAGGTCTGCTGGCGCTGGCAGGAAGTAGCAAGAGCAACGCCAAGTCTTTGGAGCCAGCTCATTATCGATGGACGTCACTTAACCGTATCAAGTACTACGTTGCAAAAGGCCTCGAACTTGATCGAAACGACTTTGTCCAAAGGCGGTCGATATCCACTTATCTTACAGGTCAAGGCACTGTGGGCCTCCCGCTTGAGCAAAACCGATGGATATGCACATCTTCGTCGCTTGCTGGAAGCACCAATAAAGAACTCCCACCGGTGGAGAGAGGTTACTCTGGATTTCGATGCCGACACAGCGACGGTGCTCGCTCCGATCCAAAACCGTTTGGACTGCCTCGAGTTTCTCGATGTTCACATCCCTAGCACATTCTTTCAGCCGCTACCCTTCCTTCCATTCGACTACTTCACAAATGCCCCGAGATTGACCAGGGCGCTATTCTCCGGACCGGCAAATTGCATTGTTCCACTCCCATGGAGCCAATTGCAACACTTCTCGTTCTACATGCCCAAGACGGCCTTCGATCCGGCCCATCTCCGCTTGTTACACTTGGACAGCCTTCCGTCAGGCGGCACATTAGTGTTGGACTTGGATCTTGGACAGAATCACAACCCGATGGCGCCGATACATGTGCAAAAGGTGGCGAGTCAGCTGTTGATGCTGCAGCTTCAGACAGTCGACATTGCGGATACCACCCACAGTCTGGGACGCGTGTTCTCTTCGCTTTGCTTTCCCGAGCTGACGCGATTGATACTGAAGGAACATCCGCCGCCGGTGACAATGG